AACAAACCCAGTGGATTAAAAAACTGATTTGAGCCACTCACTCATAAAACTTCAGAGTGTGACTTGTACTAAATCTTGGCTGTGATAGAAGCCAAGAAACAACACCGATCGAAGTAGGTCTGCCGGCAGTACACACTAGGAAGATAGTAAGTTTAAATTTTATTGATGTATTTTCAGATGAAGATGATGAGCATAGCCCAAGAGAGGTCTGTGCGTTGTTGATGCACTCAAGTCACAGTTTGAATAGGTAGTGCTAGTACGTGGTACCAGTTGCTAATGTCCTTGGTTTTGTCTATTCTATAAACAAACCCAGTGGATTAAAAAACTGATTTGAGCCACTCACTCATAAAACTTCAGAGTGTGACTTGTACTAAATCTTGGCTGTGATAGAAGCCAGAAACAACACCAATTGCAGTAGACTTGCCAGCAGTACACACTTGGAAGATAGTAAGTTTTAATTTTATTGTTTGATTGTTAGTGATGTATTTTCAGTTGAAGAAAATGAGCATGGCCAAAGAGAGGTTTGTGCATTGTTGATGCACTCAAGTCACAGTCTGAATAGGTAGTGCTAGTACGTGGTACCAGTTGCTAATGTCCCTGGTTTTGTCTATTCTATAAACAAACCCAGTGGATTAAAAAACTGATTTGAGCCACTCACTCATAAAACTTCAGAGTGTGACTTGTACTAAATCTTGGCTGTGATAGAAGCCAAGAAACAACACCGATTGAAGTAGACTTGCCAGCAGTATACAATTGAAAGATGGTAAGTTTTAATTTTATTGATGTATTTTCATTTGAAGATGATGAGCATGGCCAAAGAGAGGTTTGTGCATTGTTGATGCACTCAAGTCACAGTCTGAATAGGTAGTGCTAGTACGTGGTACCAGTTGCTAATGTCCCTGGTTTTGTCTATTCTATAAACAAACCCAGTGGATTAAAAAAATGATTTGAGCCACTCACTCATAAAACTTCAGAGTGTGACTTGTACTAAATCTTGGCTGTGATAGAAGCCATGAAACAACACCGATTGAAGTACACTTGCCAGCAGTACACACTTGGAAGATAGTAAGTTTTAATTTTCTTGATGTTGTATTTTCAGATGAAGACGATGAGCATAGCCCAAGAGAGTGTATTGTTGATGCACTCAAGTCACAGTCTGAATAGGTAGTGCTAGTACGTGGTACCAGTTGCTAATGTCCCTGGTTTTGTCTATTCTGTAAACAAACCCAGTGGATTAAAAAACTGATTTGAGCCACTCACACATAAAACTTCAGAGTGTGACTTGTACTAAATCTTGGCTGTGATAGAAGCCACGAAACAACACCGATTGAAGTACACTTGCCAGCAGTACACACTTGGAAGAGAGTAAGTTTTAATTTTCTTGATGTTGTATTTTCAGATGAAGGTGATGAGCATAGCCCAAGAGAAGTCTGTGCATTGTTGATGCACTCAAGTCACAGTCTGAATAGGTAGTGCTAGTACGTGGTACCAGTTGCTAATGTCCCTGGTTTTGTCTATTCTATAAACAAACCCAGTGGATTAAAAAACTGATTTGCGCCACTCATTCTTAAAACTTCAGAGTGTGACTTGTACTAAATCTTGGCTGTGATAGAAGCCAAGAAACAAAACCGATTAAAGTAGACTTGCCAGTAGTACACACTTGGAAGATAGTAAGTTTCAATTTCATTGTATGATTGTTAGTGATGTTGTATTTTCAGTTGAAGATGATGAGCACCGACCAGGAGAGTTTTGTGCATTGTTGATGCACTCAAGTCACAGTCTGTATAGGTAGTGCTAGTACGTGGTACCAGTTGCTAATGTCCCTGGTTTTGTCTATTCTATAAACAAACCCAGTGGATTAAAAAACTGATTTGAGCCACTCACTCATAAAACTTCAGAGTGTGACTTGTACTAAATCTTGGCTGTGATAGAAGCCAAGAAACAACACCGATTGAAGTGGACTTGCCAGCAGTACATACTTGGAAGATAGTAAGTTTTATTTTATTGTTTGATTGTTAGTGATGTTGTATTTTCAGTTGAAGATGATGAGCATGGCCAAAGAGAGGTTTGTGCATTGTTGATGCACTCAAGTGACAGTCTGAATAGGTAGTGCTAGTACGTGGTACCAGTTGCTAATGTCCCTGGTTTTGTCTATTCTATAAACAAACCCAGTGGATTAAAAAACTGATTTGAGCCACTCACACATAAAACTTCAGAGTGTGACTTGTACTAAATCTTGGCTGTGATAGAAGCCATGAAAGAACACCAATTGAAGTAGACTTGCCAGCAGTACACACTTGGAAGATTGTAAGTTTTGATTTTATTGTTTGATTGTTAGTGATGTTGTATTCTCAGTTGAAGATAATGAGCACTGCTAAGGAGAGGTTTGTGCATTATTGATGCACTCAAGTCACAGTCTGAATAGGTAGTGCTAGTGCGTGGTACCAGTTGCTAATGTCCCTGGTTTTGTCTATGCTATAAACAAACCCAGTGAATTAAAAAAAAATGATTTGAGCCACTCACTCATAAAACTTCAGAGTGTGACTTGTACTAAATCTTGGCTGTGATAGAAGCCAAGGAACAACACCGACTGAGGTAGACTTGCCAGCAGTACACACTTGGAAGATAGTAAGGTATAACTTTCTTGATGTTGTATTTTCAGATGAAGATGATGAGCATAGCCCAAGAGAAGTCTGTGCATTGTTGATGCACTCAAGTCACAGTCTGAATAGGTAGTGCTAGTACGTGGTACCAGTTGCTAATGTCCCTGGTTTTGTCTATTCTATAAACAAACCCAGTGGAATAAAAAACTGATTTGAGCCACTCACTCATAAAACTTCAGAGTATGACTTGTACTAAATTTTGGCTGTGATAGAAGCCAAGAAACAACTACGATTGAAGTGGACTTGCCAGCAGTATACACTTGGAAGATAGTAAGTTTTAGTTTTATTGTTTGATTGTTAGCAATTTTGTATTTTCAGTTGAAGATGATGAGTATGGCCTAAGAGAGGTTTGTGCATTGTTGATGCACTCAGGTCACAGTCTGAATAGGTAGTGCTAGTACGTGGTACCAGTTGCTAATGTCTCTGGTTTTGTCTATTCTATAAACAAACCCAGTGGATTAAAAAACTGATTTGAGCCACTCACACATAAAACTTCAGAGTGTGACTTGTACTAAATCTTGGCTGTGATAGAAGCCAAGAAACAACACCGATTGAAGTAGACTTGCCAGCAGTATACAATTGGAAGATAGTAAGTTATAATTTTCTTGATGTTGTATTTTCAGATGAAGATGATGAGCATAGCCCAAGAGAAGTCTGTGCATTGTTGATGCACTCAAGTCACAGTCTGAATAGGTAGTGCTAGTACGTGGTACCAGTTGCTAATGTCCCTGGTTTTGTCAATTCTATAAACAATCCCAGTGGATTAAAAAACTGATTTGCGCCACTCATTCTTAAAACTTCAGAGTGTGACTTGTACTAAATCTTGGCTGTGATAGAAGCCAAGAAACAACAACGATTGCAATAGCATTGCCAGCAGTACACACTTGGAAGATAGTAAGTTTTAATTTTATTGTTTGATTGTTAGTGATGTTTTATTTTCAGTTGAAGGTGATGAGCATGGCTAAAGAGAGATTTCTGCATTGTTGATGCACTCAAGTCACAGTCTGAATGGGTAGTGCTAGTACGTGGTACCAGTTGCTAATGTCCCTGGTTTTGTCTATTCTATAAACAAACCCAGTGGATTAAAAACTGATTTGAGCCACTTACTCATAAAACTTCAGAGTGTGACTTGTACTAAATTTTGGCTGTGATAGAAGCCAAGGTAGTTCTAGTACGTGGTACCAGTTGCTAATGTTTCTTGGTTTTTTCCTATTCTATGACAGCTACATGGTCTTGCCCTTTGAACTAATATTTGACCTCATAAAAAAATAATCACTATTTAGAATTTGATTGACTTCATTATGTGCCCGGATCGATAGATCCGAGGCGTATATTGTTTTTGTCCTGTCTGTTTGTCTGTCTGTCTGTTGTCAACTTTAACCTTCGCCATGACTTTCGAACCATGAAAGATAGAGACTTCATATTTGGTATGCATACTCCACCAATGAAGTTCTTTCAAATGACACCAAGGTCAATGACCTTGTGACCTTGACTGTGACTTATTTGCTTAAAATATCTTTTTCGAATTTTCGCCATAACTTTTGAACCATGAGAGATAGAGACTTTATATTTGTAATGCATACTCCACCAATGAAGTTCTTTCAAATGACACCAAGGTCAATGACCTTGTGACCTTGACTGTGACTTATTTGCTTAAAATATCTTTTTCGAATTTTCGCCATAACTTTTGAACCATGAGAGATAGAGACTTTATATTTGTAATGCATACTCCACCAATGACGCTCTTTCAAATGACTTCAAGGTCAATGATCTTGTGACCTTGACTGTGACCTTTATGCTAAAAATATATTTTACAACCTTTCTCCTGAACTTTTGAACCAGGACAGATAGAGACTTCATATTTGGTGTGCATACTCCACTAATTAAGTTCTTCAATTGTCACCAAGGTCAATGACCTTGTGACCTTGACTTATCTTCTGAAAATATTTTTTTGAACTTTGTTGCCGTCCGGCGCATAGTGTTTCACAAACAAATCTTGTTTTTTCAATTAGTTTCAGTTTTTCTAAGTAAAAGCAGGTAAATAATATATTTTTGTTGAAATGTTACATAATATGAACATGTACTTCTACAAATCTGATTACTAGTATTTTTATTGATACTAGTATTCTATTGATCAGTTGTAAAGACTACACGTACAACACAGAGTATATAGTTTTACTTTAAATTAGAAAATATCTTCATGATTTAGTAAATAAGAGTTTAATTTTTTTGAAATTTCCATGACAGGATTGATTTTTACACAGTAAAACATTTTGAAACATCTATTTAAATTAACAAGACAAGAAAGGAATCCAAAAATTGAGCTATTACCTTAAATCTAAAAAGAATATTTACTCTGCTACTTTAAATATTACTTTATTGTACTTTTAAAAACTGTCTTTATTAAGAATAAAAAAATAGGGATGTGGACTATTTTTCCAAACTGAAAGACTGATTTTCAATACATGTACTTTGATATGTAATTAATATTCCAAATTCTACATAATAGGGTTCTAATGCCCTGTTCACACAGAGAGTTTAATTTGCAGTAAATTAATGCGAATTAATTAAACAAATGCGAATTAAAATAATGCAGATGAAATTGTGTTCACACGACAGCTAAAGTGAAGTAAACTAATAAGAATTGAAATTTTACTTCTATAAAAAAAGCTATTCACTCGGCTATTATGACGTCATTTGTAAATCATGTCAAGTATGCCGAGTCATCCTTTTGATATATTGGTAATAATCATAGTGGCTACAGGGATAGATTTAGTGATTAACATACTTTTCCTTGATTTTTGAACCAAATATGGCACAGATACATGTACCTATATCTAACAACCAACATGTGTCCTGTGACTTAATTCTGGTCTCATGCATGTGTCAAAATTAAGTTCGAATTAGCTTTGCTTAGCATTCACATGGAGCTAATACGAAGTAATTTAATGTGCGTTAAATTAAATTGAATTAAACTAATTTCCTGACCAATAAATTATCCGTGTGAATGCGATTCAAATTCAATTCGCAGTAACTTATGTTTAATTCGAATTAAACTTTCCATGTGAACAGGGCATAATGATGAAATTGTAATGATACAAATGTTAATAAACTGTCATCAAACTCAACTTTTGTTTTGATAATTGTTGTAAAGTATACATATGAATTTTAACAGAGTACTGTATACAGGATTATTTTTGCTCTGCTTTATTTTCGCCCTTTTACACTTGCAAACAATTTTGCCCTGTCTTACATTTGTCCAGTCACAGTAATTTTACTGTATTCTTTTTATTCGCCAAGTTTTAAATTCACCCAACCAAGGGTAGGGTGAAAGGGGCAAAAATAAAATACGGATGAAAATTTCCCTGTATACAGTAATCAAATCAGTATAATTAATATTTTGAACTCTGCGTTTGTGGTGTATTATTTTTTAAGATAATGCCATTGTCTCAAGCCACAGTCTGAGAGTCTGCATGAAGCTCTCTCCAGAATGGGAGAGGATCCAACATTTTGGCTGTGGTTTGCACCGATGAGATAATGCAGGCATAACAGTAACACAGCACTCAACAGTGCAATGTGTGAAAGGTGATAATTCACACTAAATAAAATGGAAATTTTAAACATGTATATATAAATTTAATGTTTTTTTTTATCACCACAATCAATATACAATCATCATAAATCTGTATAAAAGCATGTAAATTGAGTTATACCCAACATCATATTAGCTATCGACATGAAAGGCATACGAGTCTATTTTATCCATGAAAACATCAGAACTAACATCATGAATTAGTGTAATTGTCAATGTCAAGCTTCTGTAAGCCTATGCAATCCCTGCACTGCTATTTGGGATTCACAGATAACATAATTTGTTGTACAGCACTTCATTTTTAGACTTCATTCAATTCAATTAAATAAAATGCTTCTGTAGCAGTACATAGTATGTTCCACATTTTCACAGCACAGACTTTTTCTAATCAAGATAATTGGCACTCATCAAGTTTCTTTTAAAATTTTTTCAACCTCTTTCTAAAGATCTGTTTAACTGTCTGTGAATTTGGGTGGTCTTTTCTCTGAAAACGCTGTCATGCCCTCCTTTCGATCATTCTAAAATGCAGCATAAATATTCAAGTATGAAAATGTAAACAAAATTTGACTACAAAGAGTCAATTGTCATTTATCAAAGCACAACTACTTACTGAGGCAAATGAAGCATGGAAAAGCCTCTTTTCAAAATGAAGTCCTTCTTTAAGAGACATTTCATATGCTGTCAAAGAACAAGAAAATCAGAAATTTTTAATAAACTTAAATAAAATATATAACAAAACAAAACTATAGTAAAGATCATACTCTAGCAGTTGACCAAAATAATAAGAACATATATATATTATTATAACTGTAACTTGATCCGAAAGGTCATAACACATCGAGTTGACAAGTGTGGATTATCAGATCAAACTCCAGATTTTTTTATGCTTTAGAAAAATAACATCATTTTTCTGCATTATCAGTTTCATAAAGTGGTGGTATGGATTCAGAAAACCACAGTGTGGTGATCCGGATCACTACGTCACATGATTGCGTTAAATTCAAATGAAACCATGGCATCTCAAAACAGGGCACTGCCTCGCAAGTGAGAACTATGAGGTACAAAATCAGATTGTGTGATAAAGATTTTGTGAGAGTTTCATTATATTTTATTTTCAATATTAAAGAAACTGTGATAAAAGATGGGTATCCAATGTGTAATATACATTCAGATGGACACCCCAATTAAAATATAACCCTTCCTCTTTTTAAAGGGGATCAGAGATAAAAGGGCAATGGAGATTTTGTCTTGGTTATAATAGCCATGATACTACTTGAATTAGAATGTACATCTCAACATATTGAGTAAAGAAAATCATGCACTCTAAGTTAACTTTTTTTTTCTTTAATGAATACATACCTGCATTGACTGCTTCCTTGCACATTCCTGTGGCTATTTTAGAGAAGCTGCTGATTTTCTCAGCTGTTTTGACGGCCTCATTGACCAGTTCTGCTGCTGGGACAACTTTACTTACCAGTCCTATGAAAGAATCAACACTAATCAGGAGAAGAATCAACAGAGATTAGTTTGATTTACTCTTAAAGATTTTGTATTTCTCAATTTGTTAATTTCTAGTTTCATTTACCATGTGTAGAACTAAAATTCAGAATATTTTTTCTTAGTCATCCATGATTGCTTTATTCCAATATATAATGTGAAACTGAACAGACATTTGAAGAGAAAGAGGCTAAAAATGTTGCATACTTATCCAGTGAATTTTATTGTCATGCTTGTATGTATGTTTTTACCTGCTTTCTCGGCTTCTACTGCAGACATCCTATCAGCTGTTAACACCATCTCCATAGCCTTAGATTTCCCGATAGCTTTACACAGTCTCTGGGTCCCTCCAGCTCCTAATTACAAAGCAAACTATAATCAGTCTCATTCATTCAAGTCTCTTTTATTTTTTTATAAATCTGAACCACCTAAATGATGCTAGGCATCATATTTTTGTACATTACATCTGATTCAGGTCATTTAATGGGAATATTTGTTGATAGGGTTTAACAGCTCCTGATGTATTCTCAGATAATGGCCTATCCTCAGACATATACATTTTATGTAAACTGTTGTCAAAAATGAATTTTAATTGACAAGATTACATTGTATAAGCTCCTCTGGTCAAAGACCAGAAGGGAAAAGTCTTCATTGAGTAAATTAAGGGTAAAAACCCATTCCTATGCTTTTTGCATAGTCAGGACAAAGACAGTGATTTTTCTACAATTTTTAAAAGGGGCCTGGGACTTTTCAATTGGGAAAAATTGTCGACATTTGTGTCAAATTGGGAAAAACAATAAGATTGTAATTAACTTTCATGTTGACAAGTAAAATAAAATATATAAGTAAATGTAATATCATTTACTAAATTTATTTGCTACAAAATTTTTCAACAAAATGGACGCAGTTCTACATTTTTAATTTTCTTTCATTTTTGTTCTTTGATTGTCCTATATTCCATTTTTTGCCATAATGGTAGATATAACTGAGAAAAAAATCATTCCCGATTTCTCGCTTTTGCTCGCATTGGAGATGGAATAATCTTGACACAATTTACAAGCATGTATTGCTGTATTTCTCTGCAATGCTAGTATCTGCAGAATGAAGAAACAGTTTAATTTTCGTGAAATCAAGGAAGCTTGTTGTAGAACTTCTACTAGTACTTGCAATTCACAAATAAAGCTATGTTTAACCAATTCACACACATATTAAATTTATTACGAGGTATTGACACACAAGTTTGACATCCACATGATCGATGTGTTTTTCCAAGTCTTGCAAACACACAAATAAACTGCTGTTTTCGCCATTATTTTAAGCGTCCGAATGACCAAAAACAATAGCGTTCCATTTTAGATAAGTCGTACATAAAAAATGCAATATAACCAAAACAATACATTTCGATTTTGGAAAGAAAAGCAGTTGAAAATTGGGAAAAAATCGGTAATTTTTGAGAGGGGAAAGGGCCGATATTCGGACATACATTGAGTGTAGGAAAATCACTGAAAGAGCACATTGTGGGTATTACCCATCAACAGGGGATGCTCACTCCACATGGCACCTGATCCCATATCTCTTTCCAGAGGTTCATGTTTGCTATGTTTGCAGTTAGTACTGTATGATTGGACTGTTAGAATGACTTCTATTCATGATCTTGTGAAAATTTCTTTCCAGTAGGACATATATGCTAACATATGAGTTATTTCTCCAATCACATTTTATTTGACATTTATCAAAACCTATTGGAACCAAGAAATTTGTTTTATTATTTATTTTACCTGGTATGGTGCCCAGTGTGATTTCTGGTTGTCCAAACTGTGCTTTGTCTCCGGCATAAATTATATCACACATCATGGCTACCTCACAACCACCACCTAACTGCAAAATCATATTTAAAAAAAGCTTCAATCAATGTCAATAGAATATAATTTATAAATATGGTAAGAGACTGTTATTTCATAGAAGTCAAATATTCCTACATCGTGAAATCTCTTTTACAATGACTATCACAAAACCTTGTCCAATGTATTTATCACTGCGTCTTTATTGATTAATAAAATGTGCTGCCCTAAACATTCAAATATTTTATTTTATATCAACAAATATTTGCTTCCTAGTCAGCATGCTGATTTCAACATAATTAGCATTTACAATGAAACATTTGCAAACTGAGTGGGTGAATGCCAACTTTTAACCCTGATCAACATATTACAGTTTGTCCCAGTTTACATGGAACATGTAGAATATAAAAAGGTCTTTTAACTTACAGCAAATCCATTAACAGCTGCAATCACTGGTTTTGAGCATCTTGACAAGGCATCCCATTCACTCAAAAAATTTCCTCTCCAAACCTCTGAAAATTCTTTTGTCTGCATTTCCTTAATATCAGCCCCAGCTAAATTATGAATTTAAATCATACAAATTATATGTATATCTAAAGCACAGACTACAATTTTTATTTTTATGTAATGTTACCTAGCAGCACATATACATGACATTGTATCAAATCAATTTTTAAAGTTTAAATTTCTCCATTGTTATTTAAAAGAAAATTCAGACCTGCAAAGGCTCTTTCACTGCCTGTCAATACAATAGCCCCAACATCATTATCAGCTTCAAATCCCTTCACAGCTTGATCAAGCTCAGACATAAGGCCTGCACAAAGTGCATTGAGTGCTTTTGGTCGATTAAGTTGAATAAATCCAACATTGTTCTTCTCTCCTTTCTTTTCTACTATGATATATTCATATTTTCCTGTAAAAAAGAGCAATAAATGTCACACACATTTTTCATGAGGAAGAGAAATCTGTGTATAAAGCAAGTGTAATGTGTGTGTGTGTGGGGGGGGGGTGCAATGAACCAGACTGGGATTTCAAACTGGGCCTCCTGCATCTTCAGTCAGGTGCTCTACCAACTAAGCTATCTGGGCACCTCCACATTCCTCTCTCCATAAAGGTCCTTGGTACTAGATAGTATGTGGGTTAACACTTTAGCTCAGTCGGAAGTGCACCTGATAAGTGATGCAGTGTTCCCAGTCAAGCCATACATTTTCTCCTTTTCTGTTAGAGATTTGGTGCCATTGACCACCCTGGACATGCCAGGGGCTAATAGCAAGTGCAGATAGCTTTAACGACAATGCCTGGGCAAAGAGATAATTTGGACTTCTGCACATTCATTCGATAAAATTTTCCCCCAGGATTTTGGACCTACAATGCATTGCTTCATACACAAAAGATAAAGCAACATTCTCTTGAGAATAACAAAAAAAAAAAGAATACTGTAGATCACTAAATTTTCGCGACACCTTATTTTCGCGAGATAGTCATTGACTCTTGATAAGCGAGACATAATTTTCACGAATTGTGGTTATTGTAGTGATGGGGAATCGGAAAAAAAATAGAATCGGTTATCGGTAATAATCGGCTGGGCATAATCGATTAATAATTGATTATAATCGAAATTTTGAACTTTAATAAAATCAATATAGAAAAGTTTAAACTTATTCAGATTTCTGTCAGACTTTTACAAAAAAAAAAACATTTACTTACATAAAATATTCAAAAATGTTAATTGAAATTTCTTTTATAACAAGTGGAAAATAATATTTTGTTTACTTTAAACAATATAGGACTATATAAGACTATTGAAACAGAATGGGAATTTATTTTAATTTTTTTTTATAAAGTCATTGCAATAGGTATTTTACTGATATTAGTCCCGCCTTTCATTTAATACATGTATATTTTTCTTAAAATTAATTTTAATTAGTTAAAATAATAAAATTGCAAGTTTTAAAAGTAATTATGCAGAAGTTAGACTTGTATTTATGATAATAATTACGTTTAAAGATTGACTAGACTAATTATGTTTTCCTTTGTATAGTAAAACCTTGCAATATTAGCGTTTCTGGGTATTAGTCTAACCCCATATTTAATCATGGCGGTAAAAGTATCAACAAGACACGGAATCCTGCCATGTTTTCAACGTTTATCACTACTTTTATGCTCTTTGCACTTGGATTTGGTAATAAAATTAAAGTATGACAATTTTATTTTTTGTTAGCGATGTCGGCGACATTTATTTTATAATCGATTAGTAGCATCGAAGAGCTTCTAACGACCGACAATCGACTGTCGGCGACAATCGTTCCATCACTAGGTTATTGTTCTATATAATCTTAAGGAATACTATTATGCGCGAGAATTTAATTTTCGCGAGCACACTGTCTCACGTAATTACACGAAAATAAAGTTCTCGTGAATAAAAAGTGATTTACAGTAATAAACTTGCCATGATTTAATGAATTTGTTGGAGAAAAATAGTCAGTAAAACAATTCTTCATTTCATCAGCCCTGTTCAGGCTTCGATTTGGTAAAACACTGAATGTCACATGCAGTTTGACAAGCCTGATCAAATGGAATCTGAATAAGTATCTGTGCTCGCCCTAACAGTTGCATCATCATAATATTAACTAATAAGAAAGTGGGTTATGTCCCAATGGCAAAAACAATTGAAGAAGGGAAGAATTTTATGATTTGGGCCGTGAATATTGGCCTGGGTATCTCAGTCGGTAGAGCATCTGCCTAGTAATACAGGTTCCCGGGTTCGAGTCCCAGTCCATCCATATCCATTTTCTCCTTTTCTATATATACCCGATTCTCATTATATCGCGGGTTTCATTGTACCGCGGTATATCGCAAAAATTCGGATACATAGCCTATATTCTTTTTGTTGATGGACAATCTGTATGTTGTCTGAATGTTTACTTTTTTGATGATTAAGAAGTATGGAACATCTGTTTGAAAAAAAAATATTCAAATAAAACGTAATTTGACAGATTTCCACTCCCGTTTTTATTATATTTAGACCATTAAATTTATAACCAAATAAAAATTATAATAAAGTTCATCCTTTAAAAGTCTTTAGTTTGTACAATTGTTTATTTTTTCACTTAGAATTACAATCTAAATTCAAAAATAAAAATTGAGGTCCATGTCATCTACAAGTTTCCATGTTTACCCATGCCGCGATACAATGGGACTCTCCAATTTAGAAGATAAATAAGACTACCAGTTTTAAAAATAAACCTCGAATTAAACGACGCAACATTGGAAAATAATTGCACTAAAAAGTTGGGCCATAGTTAGAATTATAAATATCATTTAATATAAGTTAAATAAAAAAATTGAAATTATACTTTTTTATGCAAAAGAATTAAGTACCACGATATAATGAGACACCGGTATATATATATACATTTGCAAACGGTTTGGTGACAGACAGAAGAATAACCAAAATCATCACGTTTTTCTATATGTTCAGGGGTTATGATGGAGAAAAATATGCAATGCAGCTGTAAAACGGTTGAGACTTTTTTTTAAAGGAAATTCGGAATGCTAACGACCTTTGAGCTGCTGCCTGTAACATTGATATTTACTTCAAAGTAAGCTGTGACAACATAGATTTAACTGTGCTATATGTTATTTACCTGTTGACATCCATCTAGAAGACAAGGGAACTGCAGAAAACTTTAAAGAAGATTGTCCACTGAATAAAAATTGTCTGCATAGCCGTGCACCTGTTTTCAAGCAAGCCATTTTGAATAGTCTTACTAAGTTACGAAAAAAATCTTGAGAAAAAAAATAGATCACAAAAAAGTTTAATTTTCAAATTTGTATATTAAGATAAAAGAAGTTATTAATGACTTAAATTCAACATTTTAATTTCATAGAATTATCAGAATTAATATTTTATTTATGCAATGTATTTCTAATTTACTTTTCCTTATTTAGCCGAATCAGCATAAGCATCTTTTCGATACAGATTGATCCAACATCTCTTAAACGTTTTGTCGTGTTATTTGGGGGTGTGTTGTTCAGTAGCAGAAAATACTGTCACATTCCACATGAAAATGAAAGCAAATACGTATCGATAGTTGGAACACGTGTATTATGGATTTATCCCTCGGTAACTCGTATGGTAACGGCTTGCTGTATGCGGGCTGGAACCAAGATCAAGGTAATTATATCCCCTTCACTGCACCTTGGTCGCTTTTTGTTTACAAAAGTTTGAAGAGCTTTAAACACTCATGATACAGTGTCATATACTTATATATTATTTGGAAGAATTTGAAGTAAATTATTCATTTAAAGGTATGAAGAACGTTTACTTAGCGTGTACTATGTTCAACAGAAAAGACACTCAGGTTTTTAATTTTAAAAAATGATAAAAGTTATTCAAAAACATAGACAGTTACTTTCAGAGTATATACTAAACCTGTCCAGAGTTGTTGAAAACTGTCGTCCATGCTAACAAAATTTATTAAAAATGCATGTGACTGGTCAAAATGCTATCGATGCAAGTCCAAATGATCGACCCTTATTATTTCGTTAAGTTTTGATTTTGTTTTTCTTTTTATTATCAGCACACTTTCTGGCCTGATTATCATGTAAATATTCATGTAAAGTGCACTTTCTTTGAATAAGATTGAGGCTAATAAAAGCAAAACTAGCATGGCTTCTTGGCCCATTAAATCAACCACTGGAGTGAAAACAGGTAAAAATATTAGGTAACAGGATGATGAAGACAAATTTAAATATGGAAAATCTTGACAAAATGAATTTAAACACACAGTTGGGGTAAGCCCTAAATCTATCCCAATGATCCCGGATTTCAGATTTTCATTGATCGTGTTGATATCATCATTATCGATGCACAGTATAATGAATGTATTCAAATTTTTTAGACACATTTTCTAGGTTGATATAAATTCCCAGATGCGTAAATGTTTCAACAAATTCTATGTATTATGCTGAATTAGCACAGTCACTTACTCAAAAGTGGTAAATCTAGTACTGTACGTGTTATAAAAGCAGAAACTGAAAACAGACGAGGATTTAGAAATGTAGACTATTATGAAGTAAAAATATGTGTACAGGGTAATGAAGTAAATAAATTAAATTTTTTTTTCCCTCTTTCTGCGAGGTATTTTTGTGACTTAAGATTTTGGACTGGCTAAAATCACTTTGGACTGGCTTACCAGGTTTTTCGTCTTCTTGCCAGTCCAATTGACTGGAAGTCTGAAAAAGTTTTCCACAACTGTGCTGTCATTATGTATCTATCATTTCATTGAATCTGGAGCATTGGGCATCTGTTATAGATGGATTCGTCATTCCTTTTTGCTTAACCGTAAAACAATGATGTTACAATTTATAGCACTTCTGTAAACTGTATCTCATGGCATTTAATTTTTCCCATAATTTAGGATCATTACTAAAATATTTTATAATACATGTAGTTAAAATTCTCCCAATCATGCCAGTGTTGATGACTTTCTGCCCCTCAGGATTAAGATTCTAAACTTTTCAGATCAGTCTTCATCCATTCCAACAAAATTTTAAAACCTTGAGATTCTTTCGTTTTCATTGCTGAAAGATTAATAAATTGAACTTCAATATGTGAAACATAGTAATTTAGTAAAACCAACCACACTTTCTAAATTTCTTTTAATTTCAGTTTTTCAAACATTGATATCTAGACGTTTCTTCTTAGTTTGAGATTAGCAAGGTTTTACTGTTAACAGTTGTTTTTTAAATACATTTGGATGTTATAAGATATTTTGGTTTTTATTTTAAACTTTAAATGAGATTTTTGTATTTACAGGATGCTTTGCCTGTGGAATGGAAACAGGGTTTCGAGTGTACAATTCAGATCCTCTGAAAGAAAAAGAGCGACAAGGTTCGACACCACCCCTTTTTTCATTAATTACAAACAATTTAACTTGAGCCATTGTACCATTTTATATTTGGGTTATATCAAACTTTTCTAATTAATTTTATTTACATAATGTTGACAAATATACTAGGAAATTTAAGACACATCAGAAACCTATTCCAAGTGATAAAAAACATTTTTTATGTACAGATTTCGCTGATGGTGGGATTCATCACATCGAGATGTTATTTAGGTGCAATTACTTGGCTTTGGTTGGTGGGGGTAAAAATCCAAAATACCCCCCAACAAAGGGTATGTGAATCATTTATACCATATTGTAAAGATACATCTTAATTAAATTCATAAACTGTACACAAACATTTTCTTTATATATAATGCTATCTTTTGAAAATATTACATACACAAGATTAAAAAAAATGTATAGAGGAAAAGTTGGTAATCCAAATACAGTGAAAACTGTCTATCCGATACCTGTGTAATCCGACACACTGTGAATTCTGATGTTTACTTTTGTTCCCTTTTTACCGATTTCCATGTTTCGTACACTATGTAATCGGACATCCTGTCTACTCCAACACAAAATTCATCTCCCAGTGCATGTCGGATTAGACAGGTTTCACTGTACACGTATATAAATCAGTCACATTCTCATCATTTTGTGATCACATTCAAGGACTCTACAACATGTCTTCCAGACATCAGCCTTTCTTTCAGTTATTATATACTTATTGTAGTGATGGTATGGGATGACTTGAAAAAGAAACCTGTGATAGAATTGGAGTTTTCAACAGAAGTCCGTAGTGTCCGCCTGAGACGTGACAGGTTAGATGAACAATGTGTCACTTAGTTTAGTTTAGTATGGCATAGTTTCAATTTTATCCACTATTATATCTATATGACTAGTAAATAAAGATTTCAAACAGGTAAAGGTATGTTCTATTTATGAGGGGTGTTCAATATTTTTTGTCCCTTATGGTTTTCAATAAAAATTAGATCACTTGATTCGGTTTCTGGTCATCCATGAATGAATATATCTTTTATTGACATTGTGTCAAAATTTGGAACAAGTCTGTGCACTCTGAAACACAGACTTACATTTGCAACTGACGTACCCGAATACGCTGTACTTCAATTATGGGTAAAACACGAACTCTGCAGTCACTTGAAATAAGAAGGTATATTCTTGCTCATTGTGCCATTGGTATAGAACGGAATTAAATATATGAAGAAATTGTTCGGATACATGGTGGGTCTGTTATTTCAAAAATGACAGTTTACAGATGGGTTAGCAAGTTTAAGAGTGGTAGAACACATGTTTCCGATGACAAACATTCAGAAAGACCACCAAGAGCAGTCACCAAAAGTAATGTTTCCAAAATCTGTGATATTCTTAAGACAAATGCATGACTTACCATCAAAGAAATAGCAAGATGCGTAGGAATTAAAAAGGGCAGTGTTTTTACTATTTTAAAAGCTAAATTAAAGTACCATAATATTTGTGCAAGGTGAATTTAACATATTCTTACCAAAGCTCAGAAGAGGGATCATTTGCAAAAGAGCCAAAAACTTTTGAAAATGTTTAAAATATGGACACTAGGAAGTTTAATAAGATTGTCACAGGTGATTAAACATGGGTCCATTTTTTCCAGCCAAAAAAAAAGTAAAAAATCAAGTTTTGATTGGAAAGAATATGAAGAGGCCAACAATTGCAGAAAGAACTCAAACTTCTAAGAAAGCTCTATATGCAATATTTTTCAACTCAAATGGCTTGGTAGTCCAATATGCAGTCCCACAGGGCAGAAGTGTCAATGGAAATATGTATTCTTCAAGTATACTACCGAGACTTTATCATTTTTACAAAAAAAGATGACCTAATACCGGTTTGAGAGGCATTAAACTTCTGCATGACAATGCTCCTGCCCAAATAGCAAAAGTTACTTGAGACTATTTACAGCGTCACAAAGTTGTTGAACTTCCACATCCTGCATATTCACCTGATCTCTCTCCATATGACTTTTTCTTGTTTGCAAAACTAAAAGAAGCTCTCTATGGAAGGCGTTTTCAATTGCGGTCAGCACTAGGATCAGCTATTTTTCAGTATTTAAGGGGTATACCACAAAAAAACTTACA